CTGCAGCCGCCCCGGCAGCCGCTGTGTCCCTGCGCCCGTGGGCCCCGCTTGGGAGGCGTTCGGCAGCACCGACGCACCCTCCACAGCTGGAGGCCAGCGCAGGATAAAAAAGCGCTGGTAAGCTCTTCTGTTTGCAGAATTACACCAAATGAGAGCAAGCAAGTGAATCTGACTGTCAAGTCTGGACAAAAACGTAATAAAGGATATTCCTGCACGGTGCTCTCCCTCCTCCAGGTGTGATTAACTGAACAAACACTAAGAGTGCGAGCCCTGCAGAATTCACTCTCTCAGGTTCATGTTCAAGCCTTTGGTTTCAAAAGCTTTAGGGCTAGGCATAACCTACTGGTTCTCCAGAATGAAAGAGGGCTGTTGGGTTGGTTTTTTCCTTTTTTTTCCCTCTAAGTCTCTCAAGATTGGTGTAAAGAAGAAAAAAAACATATTCTGGTTTCTGGACTGGTTTTTGCTTATGTGGCAAGGAACCACAGAAACCAAATTTGCACTGGCGTAACGCTTTAACTTTCTTCCACATCTCCATTATTTTTAGCTTTTTACCCTTGTCTGCTCATCTGATGTTAACCCCAAACTGTTAATGGCCCAGGATTTGGAGGAATTCGAAGTGACATCATCACACGACACAAATCTGCAGCGGTCATTCGCGTTTGAAAGCTTCAATATTGAGTAAGCCAGGACTTCCCCAACAGAAAAAGGAAGCAGGGCCCTTGACTCTGGGGCAGCGAGTAGCTCACTCTAGATTAGCTAAATAAATATCAGAATATTGTTTAATGGGCTCCTGCTCAGAAAGGCCTAGACAGCAACACATTTTTTCAGTCAGTCCCCTTCACAAAGGCATCTCCTGACCTTGGCTGGCAGCAGGGAAGTCCAGCCGAGGAGACAACGGGACAGAGCAAACAGTACTTCTGTCTTCAGCCCGAACTACCACCGTACCCTCAAAACCAACTCACAGAAACAACCCTGCCATCCACACACTGCCTCTATTCAAGCCCTCTCAAAAACTGCTCTTTTAAAAAGTCTTATTTAGCCTGATATGTAAAGTTTCGGAAGTGCACAGGGAGAGAGGCCAAAGCGTCGGAAGAGGAGAAAGAAGCTCACCCACACGCCGCTCTGCAAGAGAAAGGCACCCGCCAGCTGAAGGGGATACTATAACTTTAAACTTTGTGTTTTTCAGGAAAGAGAGATACACTGCTGGTTTGCAACAAATCACACACATCCCCACATTTTCAAAATATGCCAAGATAATATTTATTAACACAGCAGGACTTACAGATCACAAAAGATAGTGATACATAGGAGCTCGTAAGGGCGTTATCAGAATAAAGCATGCAGGTCAATACTTGCAGAAGAGAGATATCAAAGCAGGTCTGAGAAGGCACATTCACACAGGAAATGTTTAGTTGAAATTAGACATTAGAAAAGCAGCAAAAAACCTGAAGTCGATTAAAATATACAGAGATCTCCAATAATGCCAAAGAAAAAGGTACTTTACAGATTTGTAAGTGCAGCAAATGGATAACCCTTTGAGAATACCCGGGCGAGGGTATGCTCTCTC